GCGTTGATATGTCACAGAGAAGTAAATATAAAACTTTCAGGAACAGAGTCGGGAAAGTGTGTCATGGGATTCGGTAGAGACAAAGTTACGGGGAACTATAAAGTAGTGAGGATGTGTTTTGATCCTGTGGAGGAAGAAAGGTGTCATGTTCTTGATGTTGAATGTGGTGAATGGAGGAAACTGAGTCCACCTCCGTACAAGGTCAATGTGGGAAGGAGGCCTTTGGTAAGGAAGCCTGTGTGTGTGAATGGGTCAGTTTACTGGTTACATATTTTGTGGGATTTCAAAATACTAGCCTTGAATCTTCACACACTAGAGTTTCACGATGTGTCGGTTCCAACTACGTCGTGGGTTACGTTTGAAACCAAGATAGTGAATCTTCAGGACCGTCTAGCCATAGTCAATATGAAAAAAGGGCCTGAACGGAGACTAGAGATATGGAGCATGGATGCAGAAGAAGAAATATGGAGCAACACTTACTGCATAAGCTTAGCCGGTCTAACTATTAACCCATGGGAGTCAACTTGGTTTACGGTGATGACAATTTCTAAGTTTGGGAATGTTGTCTTCTGTGACAATCACAAGAGGTTATTCAAATATCGTCCAAAGACAAATGAGATTCGCTGTCTCTCTTCGGATATTTGTGTTATATCTCCTTACCTCGAGAATTTGGTCCCACTTGGGTCAAAGTCAGGATATCATTCCGACTTGGAAATCATGACATCTAGATGTGGATTGCTTCCGAGGCATCTGGGAGCCAGCTCCGGTATATCCAAGCTATTGAAAGGGATCACATTTGGGACCCTAGATATTGTGTTTATCACACTAGTTGGGTGTATGTACAAAAAACTGTTGAATGGTTAATCCTATGCATGTAATCTCACTAAAAAGACATCAGTTACGCCGAAAAAATCATAGAAAAATCATTTTTTTTTTGTTGTTGTTGTGGATGTATCCCCTAGCTTACTTAAAATGTCCCGAAGACATGTTGTGCGTAGATTACTTGTTTCGTTAACTTTGTTTTTCCAAAGGTTATACAAAGTGAATATCCTCTTATGCTCTCAATCAATAATAGTCTCTTATTCAAAACTCAATTGCCATTATCACACTCATGAAACACATCATAAAGTTAATAAAATTAATTTTTATCTTCTCCCATAGTCTTTCGTAGGTAAAAGACACTCTTCTTTGGTTTCCTTTATATGTCCCAGCACAAGAGAAGGTTTCAAAATTTGTATAGCCCCTTTCTGGATTTTTGTTTACTTTTGTATTTGATTATAAGTTACAAGCATGGGGCAAATAGAAACAAAGGAATCCACTTACATCAAATTTTTAATCATCTAAGCCAAACCAAATACTAATAGAGACTTAATAAAGAACTAAGTACTAGTACCATAACTATAGCTAGTATTAGCTCAGTCTCTCGGATCCCAAAATCTGATCCTTTTCAACAGCTTGGATATCCACCAGAGCTGGCTCTGAGATGCCTCGAAAGCAAACCGCATCTAGATGTCATGATTTCAAGATACGAATGATATCCCGATTCAGATCAAAGTGGGACCAAATTCTCCAAGTAAGGAAATATAACACAAATATCTAAGGAGAGACAACTAATCTCATATGTCTCTAGGTAATATTTGAACAACCTATTGTGATTGTTAATAATATTCCCTAACTTCGAAACTGTAACCGGCACTTCTAATTTAAAGTTAATAATATAATAAGAGGTCATGTTTGTCATCCCTACAGTATCCCACCAAATATGGTACGAGCACAAAACATCATCACACTATAATGCCGTAAAATTTGCCGGCATCTCCAACGTATTTCCCTATAATTATCTTTAAAATAGAGTAAAAAATAGCATTTTTCTATTTTCTCTCCAATGTATGACTCTATTTTAGAAAAATGCTATTTTTTCTTGTCTTTTAGGATATGACAAAAAAATCTCTATTTCCATTTCCAAATATAGAGAAAAAATAGCAATTTCTATTATAGAGATGAAAATAGAGATGAGTTGGAGTAAATTTGACTATGAACTCTATTTTAGAGATGAAAATAGAGATGGATTGGAGATGGTCTAAAAACAAGAGAGAAACTAGTGAGAGAAAGTTCTCTCCCTTCTATCTACACAACTCCCGCCGGCCATCTCCACCGTTTGCCTCTCTGGTGGCCGGCTCTTGCCGACACTGTGAGAGGCCTCTCGCTCCACCTTTTTGCGGTCTACGGCACTTCATCCGCGGCGAAGGCCCGAGTCCGACGAGCTTCTGGTGGTCTGTTTCTCTCCCCGTCAGATCTGCATGGTGGCTCTTCTCTCTCTCCGGTGGTTGTCGTAGCTTCTCCGGTGGGTTTCTAGGTCAAATCTGTGTGGACGAAGCAAGGTTTTGCTAGTTTCAGGTGCGGCTTTGCTGGGTTTAGAGACCTAAGAGTATGTTGGTCCGACGAAGCAAGGCGGTTGTGGATCTGAAGGCGGGGTGTGGTCTGGTGGTGAGTAGCTCTTGGTTGGAGGTTCTTCGGATGTCTCTTCTAGACTGCGATTTCACCAGGAATTGGCGGATCTGTTCTAGTTCAAGAGTTTTCCCGGCTTTTCTGTCTCCAGGCGGCTAGCACTCCCTCATCCATCGGTCTTGCTCCTCCATCAAAGATATTGCTTCTCCTCGTCAACTGGGTCCTTCCCTACCTTGCTTTCTTCTCCGGTTAGCCGTTCACGGTTGTTGTATCATTTCTCAGTTTGCGGTAACATGATTCGAGATTGCTACGGGGTTAGTGGAGGATCTCCTCCGCTTTGTTCTTCTCTTAGGTTGTGCACTAGGTGTTTGGTTGTTTGATCTTTGATGTGTCTAGTTGAACTGATGACTCTTGGAGTGTTGGTCCGCTTCTCCGACCAGCTGGTTGTTCGGCATAGAGCCTTCTGGCTCGGATTACGCTCGTATGCTTCAGGGGTTCTTGGTCCTTTGCCGACAGGCTTGGCCGGGGTTCTTCTTCCGATCATCGTCAATACCGGTTTTTCAGCGTGCGGCGGCGGCTAAACCTGATTTGCTAGGGCTGATTAAGGTTCCCTCTAGTGGGTTAGATTTAGTTGCTGGGCCTCTGATTTGTAATGGGCTTGCCCCATTAGCTTTTAGGAATTTGGTTTATAGCCAAGCCCAATCCTAGGATTGTTGGCCAGACCCAATCCTGGGATTGTTGGCTAGGCCCACTAATGTTTAATTAGTGATTATGTAATCCAAGAAAAACCAAAAAAAAATAGATAATGAAATGTTTTAAAAAAAAAATTGCCATCTTAAAGATAAAATCAAAAAAAATCACTATTTTAATGCTTTGGAGTTTTGTTGGACATGCTCTCATGTAATAATTATCATAACCGATTGGACATGCTCTCATGTTA